TTTCTTTCATTTGCGAAAGTAGTATGCTTTATTGATCAATGTGTTTAGCTCAAAGTAAACAAAAAACAATAATACGGTACTCTACGCGTACTGGCAGTGACCTAATATGTCCTGTCACAAAATGAGTTGCATTGTAAAATAAACACCCCGCCATTACTTTTCGGGGGGACTGTATTTATATCGCTAATATTTCCAAATTCGTGCGCTCAATTTTGTATTCATATTACGTGGGGTGCCCAAGACAAGCGAACGTCCTTCGCTCTTTGGGTCAAGAGAGGCACTTTTCTTGGAAGAATAGAAACATAACCGAGGTCTTTGAGCTCACAACGTATTGTATGTTCACTAACTTCAAGTGTAGAATCTTTTTTTTCTTAAGTTTGTTTTTAAGTTCGCCTGCTGTGGTGAAATGGTTATGTTCCAAGATTTTTCCAATATGGCGGCGTGACAACTTTCTTGGGCGACCGGGTGAATAATTTATAGAAAGATTGTTATTATTATATCACCAAACTCCAAAAAATGATTTGCTCAGGCAACATTTAAACAGCCATCGAAAACTATGCATTATCTATCTCAATCGATAGCATGAGGGTCTTTATCCTTTCTTTTTATGGGATTTCACATGCATTGTTCGAGATATCTTTCTGCTTCTCGTGGAACTCTTTCTGTAGAGCTTTCTGAATCTGTAATACATAGAATTCTACCCGTTACAGCATTTGCCGCGTGAGTTTATTATCATCTAAGAACTTCATCCGAAAGAAATGTAGTACAGTGATGTAAACGTTTTCATGAGGCCTATTTACAAAGTTCGATTATGGAGTAATGTTTATTAATACTTGTTTTCTATAGTTTAATAAAGGTAAATGCAAGGAAATTATAAATATAAAAGTCGGAGGTTGTTCATACCCCCTACCCAATGTCTATGTGTCAATTGCTTAATTTTCAGTGATTGGATGCGGTTACTCAGATTCATTGAAATTATTCAATGCGTTTATCGTATTTCTTAAGCACGCAGCGAACACATCTTCTCGTTAATTGATACAAGCTTCACGACGTAAGTGGCGTCTGACTGATCCACTCTCGTAACATACATCCAATTCGAATCACCAAGAACTTCGACAAGTAGTCATTTTAAGGCTAATGCAGGAAGGAGCAAAAGAAGCAGGGATAATAAGTATAGTGATAGGGATTGAAAGTGGATGTTGAAGTGGGATGTTCGTCTTTCTTTCTTGTATATCCGAGATTGGGTTTACACCCTTAAGCAGGTTCCCTTTCTTACAACGGTAGTATACTGATATATATATACTTGTCATCTCAAATGGGGTTTGTAAACAAGTGGATATCTTAGGATGCCTACGACGTCGGGCCTTCCGGCATCGGCGTCTCTGAAGATTTTGTGGTAACAGGTTGGTGGTTGGAAATCAAAAGCAGTGCAAGTCGTCAAGGTAGTGGGAAGAGCGAGGTTGTGTCGGGAAATCTAAAATATAATAATGTTAGATACTGGCGAACAGCCTACGCGTAAGCAAGCGCATAATAACAATTGACACTTACAATAAGGTAATCCGTGGGTAGTACTTTATGACTTATATGCTTATACATACTCGCCCGACACATTGAAAAATGGCCTCATCCTAGCCAGACCCGAATACATCACGAAAGGAGGACTCACCACTTTTAAGAAAGTAACTGTTACTATCAGTAGCAACAGAATAGTTTATATAGTAAACGTTATATTACGTGATGCACTACCGCGCCGGTGCACGAAAATCATGTGAAAAAATTGTGTATTCAGTCTATACTCGAGAACTCCTATAAATGTAATTTTTGTTTGGCCAACCATTGCAGGTAACGGAGCCGCACTGTTTGTCAACTTGCCAGGTTATCAGTATTTTAATTTTGTTCACTATCTCCAAGCAATTTAGGCCGACTACTTCTTCTTTTGCTTATAGGCATTCTTAAATCTCTATATAGCCCGTATGTGGTTTTAAATAATGCAAGCCAATTTGATTTCTCGAGCAATAAAAATTGATAAATTTCTTCTTCTACTGATGACCAGTATCGAGTTTGTATTTTTCTTGGTATGGCGGTAATGCTTACTCTTTTATTGGTGTGGTAATAGTGAGAAGTTTCACCGGTAGCGTAGTAGTTTCGATGGGAAGATTAAACACTTTACTATTATTTGCATTGTTTGCAATGTGAACGTTTTGACATTAATGGTTTAAAAAAGAATACACAAATAGACATTGTTTTGACATTGTTTTAATTCTCCAATATTTACCACAGTAACAAACCCAAAACAGAAGTACTGTATAATTATTCTGCAACATGTTTAGAGAGTGGCAAATATTGTCTCGCGTCCTCTTGGATAGGCGGCAAATCGACAAAGGTGAAGTCATAAACTAAAAAAATAACAATAACAACCGAAGAACTATAACTATAACCAAGAAAACCGGTTATGGAAAGACGTTAAATATTAATATTAAAGGCTAGTTAAGAGAAGCAACATGAAGTAGAATTACCGACAATTTTGTCCCATAAATCTATCGGTTCACAACGTTTCGCTGTGGAGCAAGAAAGACGATTTCAAAGCGATCAGATGTGTCGAACACATACAACGTAGGGTCTCGACAATGTAATTCGTCCCAACGCAACGGTTTTATAAAAAAAGTTGCTCGTTTTTTTACACAGAAAATATATAATAAAATATATAAATAAAATTTTTTTTTATATAATATAATAATAAGAACGACCCCTACCTTTAGGTCGATCTATAACCATGAATAGTTAGATAAATGTCCAAATAGAGATCGAAATAAAGTTAAGCGTTACACACGGATCGGTTTGATGCTAATATTAATATTAATTTAATAAGGACACGTTATATAAAAAACGACTAGTTTTGATTGGACACCATCAGAATATAACATTTGAGAAGTTGTTACGATGAAGCCTGACAAAATACCAAAAATTGATGAATTTTCTCCCGAAAGAGGAACGATGGTTATATTCGAAGATTATGTAATGAACCTAAAAAAAAAAATACAAGAGAAAATTGTTCCTTATTTCACCGAGGGACGTCACCCTAGCATCAGTTCAATATACGTAATATTTGATTGTCCAAAATTAATCTGTACTCTTTAATGGTTCAGGTTCATACGATGAACATTGTCAGGTGGTATACAAAAATGGTGTAACGCTGTTGATGTAATCGCAAGGTCGGCAGTAATAATGTAATAGTAAAACTATCGTCTAATGCACGATCAAATTCGAGTTTCGTTTGATTTTCAAAAAGTCTTTATACTTTAATTCGCAATATTCATTACCAGTGCATAAAGACTTCCAATGATTCTCCGGTGTATAATAATCCGTTGCAAGATGGCTATTCTTACTGTAGGAGTGAATGGAACGTCGTCTGAGAATCGTACCAATTTTCTTGCATTAAAATATCTTTTGCTCTCGATAGGTAAAAGATCTTCTTTTTTTTTGAAATATTGCAAGCGAGACCAATTCTTTGTTACTATTCTCCAGGAGTTTCGCCAGTACGAACCTGTGACATATTGCAATCTTCAGTCCAACATTTAGAACCGCGTAAATCCTGATTTACAAGACCTATATGATACGATTTAATGAATTATACGATTATAATATTAGCGTTTTTGACCTATCAATTATGTGCAGTACAAATACGAGATTCAATTTTAGTCGAATGTTGAATACAAACTAGATTTAGACATATCACAACAATGTGTCGTCATACGGCTTATTCGATATTTACACTTTAGTTCTGGAACAGTGAATGCTACTTCCAATGAATGGCAGAAGATTCCTGAATTGTAATATATAGACAAGCGACAGCAAGAGACCAAGCTGGGTTTGGGTCCTGTCTCAGTTCGGAACCCAGACACTCAGTCAGAACTGAGACAGGTTCCCAATTGAGACAGAACTTACATTACCTTATTACCGTACTTTCGAGCAAATATAACTTCCACTTTTTTTTCAAGTAACGAAATGCTTGTTATACATATCTGGTATAGCGATAGTCGCTGCCAGTGTGTGTTACTGCGATGATAGTCAAAATTATAGAATTGGTTCAGAACATGTCACGGTTTGTAACATTATTATGCACAAATTTTTCGTATGACAGTAGAACTTGTTCTCTTATCGACTGTTACTATAAAGAATTCCATTGAGAAGCTGCATTGCCTGGATAACGTACTTATTTTAGCACATGTGACACAGCAGTCAGCCCTCGAAAAGAGGTTTTTTTTTTTTTTTTTTTGTTTTTTTTTTCCACACAAACAACATGGCAGAATTAAATGTCAATTACCATACAGAAAGAAGCCTTTAGTTTTGCCTGCTTTTTATCCATTTTGTAAGGTATTTTATCTCTCAAACTTCACATAAATAGTCAGTATGTAATGCATTTACAGATCTGGTAAAACAATCCATTTGACAATGGCGCCAATCGTTATAATCGAGTTTGGCAATCTTCTGCTGCAGCAACTGTTGCACAATCTCGTTAAACGTGAGACAGTAATGTTAGAACAGTTGTGCAGATATGCGAACTTTAAACAATGTGTTCAAACAAATAACGTCATATGATTTGAAAAGTTGGTCTCTATAAGAGTCGGTATTGGCATGTAGACAACCGTTGCGTTTTTTTAATGCACAATTACGTAAAATGCAAAGAAGTTGGATTGTTAGCTCGTATTTGTATCTCATAATTGCACTATCGTTCTATACGATAGAAGTTTTGACAAATCCGTTGAATTCTTCTACACACTTGATAAAAAGAGCATTCTATGAAGCTGACTTGACCCAAAACCCTCCCGGTGGAACTGCAGATATTCCTACGAGCATGGCACAGTGCGGAGGAACCATGAAATTTTCGGGCTTTACACTCTCTCTCACTCCTTCAAGCACGCCCGGGTATCCTAATTTAGTTGAGACTCTTACTATGCAAGCACCTGTGGCTTTAGCGCAACCTACAAGTAATTAATTCGTAATAGTGTGATTATATGCATTTATTAATAAATACCAATACATAAACGTTAAACGAAAAACTCTTGTTCTAGTACAATTAAGTTACGGTAAACCCTGTGATGCTGTGCCTGGCGTCTCTACACACAACCTGGTTTGCGATACGCCAACCTTTCAAGATTTTTGCACAGTTAAGGGAAATACATTGACAATTTCTCTTAATATGGCAAACAATTTTGGTAAGTTCATTCAACCGTAATTTTCAAACTGTTATCGTATTCCATAATTGACGAGTTTCAATACTATGTGACAAGGTCGATTTAGCGCCCTTCGGACGGTTTTCCCAGACAACCACTTCTCTATGCAAATTTTGGTAAATAATGGTGCTGGTTGCGCCAGAATTATTCTTAACCCTCGTTACAACCCCGCCTGTCCTAATCTTGAGGGCAACCCCCCTCCAGCCGGTTCTCCGACTCCAACCGGTTCTTCGACTCCGACTGGTGGTGGTGGTGGCGGCGGCGGCGGCGGCGGTGGTTCAGGCGGTGGTTCAGGCGGTGGTTCAGGCGGCGTTTCTTCTCCTATCCCTGGTAGCACATTGACAAAGAACCTCCCGTACGTGTACAACGTTCCAATAATAGCCGGCGCAATTGCTGTGCTGACTATCACACTGCTACAAGCGAGCAACATTATGAACACTAAGGCAACGACGTCACATTTTCAACATACAGACCTTAAGGAGTTGAGCTATGAACAATCAGCTTTTGTGATACCACCTCCATTGACAGCACAATCGCCTTCTATATATGATATATTTCGTGCTGTTCAATTTTTTGTGACCACTGCTATGCTTTCTGTGCCTTGTCTATTAAATAGCCTAGATTTAAACTTTAGCTATCAGGTTGTGGCGTCCAAACTTGGATGGACTTGTGGAATACCACCATACAGTTTCCATGCTGGGTTCATATCCGACGCTGCAGATAACCAAATACGAGAAGGAATATGTCACATATCGGATAGCCAATATTCGAGTTTGAGCCCACCTTCTTCTGGATTTACAGATTTTGGCAAGGCCATTGGAATTCCGGGATATGATTTGTTTTTTATGGTATTGATCATATTTTGCTTTGCACAGTTGGCTGCGTTTGTTGTCGCATTATTGCTTGGATCATTAGCGTGGTTGCTCAAGTGTTTCTGGGATAAATGGTCCATCCTGGAAACTGCTGCGCATAATATTCACTTTTTAATGCTTGGTAAGTAAAAAATTATGCCGTTATATGTGTAACAAGTTAAACAAACCATCTAACTTTTTTATCGTTTAGGCGGAATGTTACGTCTGGTAATTAGTAAATCACGTGCACTCTGATGTGTATTTTTGATTTTATTATTTATCTTTTTCTTTTGTATCACCATCCAGCTACTCTTGTTTTACTATCCTTTAACACTTTTTGCCGCCTATCAATTATCTCTTTACTACGATTGCTGGTTTTTATTGTTTCTTGCTGCAATTTGTATTGTAGTAATCTCTATCGGAACAGTAGTGATTTGTGCCCGCAAAATTATCAAGGACATGCGTTATAATCGGGAAGCATTTGACTCGCCAGCTCACAAAATCGTATTGGGCGCGTTTTACACTCAATATCGAGACAGTTCGGAGTCGCAACAACAGACCCGTATTTGGTTCTTCATAATTACGGTTGTTTATGATTTTGTTAGGGCCATCGCCATTGGAGCGGCTCGGAAGAACGGTCTCGTGCAAAGCCTTTTCTTGCTTGTTACCGAATTGTTTTATTTCCTTTTGCTGATGCTTTTCAAGCCTTATATCACAGGTTTGATGAACAAGTTAAATATAAGCATTTCATTTTTGAGGTTAGCTGTTGTTTTTTTACTACTTCCGTATTCAAACACTTGTGCTAGTGAGGCTTTCCAAAGTATTGCATTTGGTTTGCAAGGCGTTATTGTCGGATTATTATTCGCGGTAATGCTCGCCAAATCGGCTATGATAGTTAAAGGTTATGTTGACAAGAAAAAGAGTGATAATTCTACACCACCACCACTTACCCATTAGTAGTGTAAAGTGGATACGTATATTAACAAAACAGTTGTCTTATACAATGATCTTGATTATAGTTTTGCGTTTAAATCTTATAAAAATAGCCTGTTGTTAAAGACTCAATAATTAGGGATGTCTTATACGTCCGACTTATCGAGGGATTTGACTCGTTAAAGTTTGAATAAAAAATGTACTTTTATTGTAATATAAGCAATAAGCTAACACAAATGCTAGGATGCTGTTTTAGAGATGCGTTTACTTTTTCTGATTTTCGTTTCAAGCTAATACAACTATTTTTGATATTGTCTTACTTATTATAGTTTTTTCTTCTGGTGCTTCTTACTGTAGCAATACCCTTTTTATCAACTGTTTTTATCCTTGGCGTTAAAGTAATTGTTAGCTACTGGAATAGTAAAGATAATCTCTCAATTTGTAAAAAAAAAAACCACATGCGACTTATCGAGAGTTATTTGCTTGAAGGTTGACCGACCTGCAGCTTATCGGCTCTTGCCATTTTGGGTATCTACAAAATTGCAAAAAATATTAATTGATTATTTGCGTTTTCCATATATAACCGAATGGCTCGCAAGAATAAATCGACGTTGCTATTGTACTCACTGAAACTCCGACACAGTATTTATTGTTTTGTAATACGTCAAATACAAACATATTGTTAATTAATAATACACGTAGTCGTAAACACCTACACGGGTGGAACCAAAGCAATATTTAACTATCAATCGATTTTACTTGTTCAAACGCATCTAATTAAAACCGAGGAGTTTTTGCATTAATTGTTTGATTTAATAAATTAAGAATTCGGTTTACATTGTTTTCGTTAGGTAAAACCTTTGCCGTCAAGGTCTCTACATTCCGTGACAAAATTTATTACGAATTATTAGGGCATGATTTATAGATACGTGAAAAATTAATTGGTTTTTTCCAAATGCAAGCATATCGTCGGTCGCGAGATAATTATTTGGTTAAAGACATATTCTTAGCTATAACAGCTGCAACGAATTTGATAGCGTTAGTTGATATTGCTATCTATGCAGTTTTTGTATCTATCGATGTTGTTTTTTGCAGCACAATGTTTTATATGAATCATTAAAACCTACGAAATTTTAATAAAAGCCAAAAATATAGTGGACTTTCTCTATATGCACGTCGTGCCACTCGAAAATCAAATCACGTGAGACCGAACTTATCGAGTTGCATCTAATTAAGAGCTGAGCTGTTGGTCGACTTACGTCTTACCGCGAATTTTACATAGATTGACCAACTTATCGAGAATTTTTAAATAATGAAAGAAAATTTTGGCCGAGTTAAGCCAAAACAGGACCGACTTATCGAGGCTGTGTATATTAATCGCACAAGGAATTTCAAAAATTGCTATATGAAATAGTAATTTACCATATACGGTATCGCCCCTTCTAAAGGGTAAGATGGGCCTTCACTAAGCCCATCGCCCCTGATTGATTTGGAAAATTTTATATTACCAAATAGGGTAGGGTCGATGAAACTAGGTGAATTTGGTTGGGAGGTACTGTTAAGCGTTACACACGGATCAGGTGTTAAAGTTAAGTTTGTTAACGTTGAGAGTGATTGTTACTTGAAAACTTCTTATTCAAACGATGTCATTAGTTCCAGTCGTTAATAATCCAGCAATTGACAACTTGGTTCAAACCTCCTCGGAAAGTGAATGGATTTCTTACGAAGAAATCACCGACATAAAGCTAACTCACGTTGACAACGTTCATTACGCTATTTACAAGCGAACAGATGATGATGATGATGATGATGATGATGATGATGAAACGACGATAATGATGCTGTTGCTTGGAAGTAGCAAAGAATGTACACCAACACTTGTGAGTGAGTTTGCAAGGATATACTCACTTCCAACACACAAGCACAATAATGATGTCAGTCAATATAGACGATATTCCAAATGGCTTTATCATCGCAACAAACTCATAAAGGGATTTACCAAGTATGACGACAAGTATTACGTGGTTGCTGATCTACCTTTTTACCATTACTATTCTCGATATGGATTCTGCTCCGTATGTGGAATACTTCGATGTAGTCCCGTATGGTGCATTTGCGGTCATAAACAATTATCCGATAGATGGACTAGCAACAATAAGCAACTCGATGAGTTTATTAAGAAATCTCAATTACAAACAACCTCACCAGATCATGCCTATTTGGAATGGATTCCATTTGATTGTATTGGTGATAGTAATAGGAGATATGGATATGGATATGGATATGGATACTTGCATGATCTACTTACTCTCAATTATGTAGATATTAAATTGATTCCACTTGAGATAACAGACGAGACACATGATTTATATTATGCCGAGGTAAACTAATTACTTATGCGT